AGCGAGCAGCTGCAAATAGAGTAGTCAAAGGACGCAGGCAGCGAGCTCTATGTTTCATTCGCACCCTCAATTGGCATCTGTTAGGCAGGCGAGCGCGCTTTAGACTTCATATATCGTTCTTTCTCTGATTTGTGCCCTCAGTTGTGAAGTGGAGGAGGGATATATTACTACAAATCGTACGATTTTCCATTTGCCGCCGGGAACCGTGGTTGACGAGTAGTGTTGAGCGGCCGAGTCCGTGGTTTCCTTCGCCGGGTTAAAGCGTCTTCCGAACGGCCGGAGGTCCACTTGTAGGGCGCCACCGGCCTCCGCTGGACCCCCACTTTCCAATTCATGTTAGAGTTTGTCCCCTCTGGTTTACTGTTTCTGTACACACTAGTTCTTTCCTTTAATAATAAAATATGTGAAAGTTATCAGTTATTTCCAAAATTATTTTTAGAAATTGAACCAAGGAGGATATTTTCTCAATTTGAAAACACTTAATTGCCAAAATTTTAAATCTTCCACTAGCAGTACTTTGTTCAGCGATAACTATGTATCTAAAGCCCCCAAACCATGTTTAAAATGTTTAGTGCAAGATAACCGTCAGATTCAGAGGTACAGCAAACTACTGAACCCCTACATAGCAAATCACGAAACTTCGGCATTTAACTCAGCAGCTATGGTTTTGTCACATTGAATTCCTTGAAGGTCTCTGATTGAATTGAATAGCGCGGCAAATACATCAGCGAGTAGCTCTAAAAGTTCGGTCCTGAGGAATAAGCATCACGCTCCACCACGACTTTGAATCCTAAGCGTCTAGTGTCTCACTTCCCTTATCAACCTTCACAATTGCAGCGAAAACAAAATTCGCACGGAAATAAGTCGTAGAAAGTTAAAGAAACCTAAAGCTGAGGGCATAGTACTCATAAAAGAATACGTGTTTACATATTAAAATGATAAATAACGAACTTCCAAAAATAATGAAATAAAATTAAACGTTAAAAGGATGAGCAAATCAATGAAAAATGTCAAAAATTATGAAAACAAATTTTAAATATATCAAATTCATTTTAAAATATTTTCATTTACTTTCAACTTTGTAACACATAATAAAAAACGTAAGTCTTTCAAACGTTGAGTCACAGTCTAAATGACATCACAACGATTTGAAAAAACACTATGTAGAATTTGGCCCATTTCTAAACTGTCATGAAGTTTTGGCAACACGTAGCAATTCTTTCGATACTATGAAACACGAAACTCATCTCATCAATATAGAACTCTCTACTGTAGTATAGCGTAAAATATTTTCAAACTGCAAAGTCCAAGGATATAATTTGGTGTTTGTTATAGTAATGTTGTAATTATTAGATCTTATGTTCGATACAATAATGCTAATTATGTGCCTTAACGAAAAAAGTTTCTATCGGCAAACTTTTAACCGTTAAATTACATGAGCTTTGATGCTTGAAAATGAAGACTGTAAGAGTCTAAACATTGAAGTAATAAATTCTACAAAAAATAATTACAAAGGCGATAAATTATACATATTGTGAATAATATTCTGAACATATTTAATAAAGAGTATATATTCCAACAGTTATTCTACATCTATTTTTCAAATTCTAGCAAATTATTCATTTCTAACATTAACCTAAGAAATTGAGACAAATTTTTCAGTTAGATCCTTTTGCATATATTCCATACCATCACCGAGGCATTAATATTCGTTTCGTTAAAGATTAATAAAAATCATAAAATTGCTGTAGAGGAATTCTTTAAAGGTGATGTGTTGTCAGTAAATTTGAAATCTTCTCTTTATCAAAAAACGTCATTAAAACTCAACGTCTGTCAACTTTAATTATAATGACTATTCCAGTCGTGAAAAATAGTAAGTTTAACTATATATACAAAATTCCCCAATCGGGGTGGTGGATCCTAAAACGTTTATTGCTTTTACAATTCGATTTTTTTTACCACTTCTTCCTACTGGCCACTCATAAACTGTTACTCATCTATCTTAGGAGGTGCAATACATCGATCGCTATGTCAATGTCCAGTACACAGGTTCTATAACATAATACCTTCGATTTTAACATATCTTTCAGTTATTTTCAATATTTGGCTCGTTGAGGAACTCTGCTGGACATAATTTCACTCGTGGAGTAGTCCTATTAAATACCACTCGAAATTTTCAGATAAATCCCCTCCTCGCATCGCGAGTCGGCAATTTATCATCATCTTCCCAAGCACTCGTATTACCTATGATATCTTGCAGCAATACAGTAAAAAAACAAGCAATTTTTCAAAATATGGTAGATAATCATCTGCATTCACATTAATTATTTTATTCACTTTACTATTACTTGAATGTCAATAAAACCTTCAATTACTTGGGAGCAAACTTCAATTAGACTTTTTCTAGCTCACATTGTATACCCTCCAGGTTTCCATTTTATGAATAACAGATGAACATCGAAACAATAACAATATTTTATGTATTTGTTCGACGTTTATGTGTTTTAACTGCAATCCAATTTATCCAAACGGCTTTGGATAAAATAATGTTTGTGTCTCAAAAATAAATATATATCATTTACTTGTTAATTTCGAATTTCGCTACACAGTGCTGGGTACATTTAACTATTGTCATCGAACCACATAACCATTACTTCACTAGGTAATAAAATCGTCGTTTCGATTGTCAAGATCACTGAAATAAATGTTGGTTTGAACATAAAATGGATACAAAATTAAATGATGTTTGAGTATCACATATCAATAACAAATTATGTTCAAAGAACTCATCAGGCGTGAATTTATCAAATATAGAGGCATACAATAATAGTACGGTTCGACTTCTAAAAAATACTCATAATTACTAAAATACTCATATCTACTAAAATACTCATAACAATGGTAGGACTATAGGCGCGCGTCTTCTAGATACTCTTAGTTGCATGGTCGTTGAAACCACTAAGGCCTGAGATAATGTAAACGAATTCAGAATACCCTATCATACGTTTGTAAACATTATTTTGGGATAAGGCTAACATTCATACACCACTCTTCCTCTACGTAATATTTAAACTATTTTATTTATAACGTTTAATATTTATAAAAACTTTTTTATTTATAAAATTTACGTAATCAAGGGCGCGCAAGGGTTCGTACTGCACAGTGATAGCTTGTAATGTTAATACTGAATAAATAATATATTATTTTAATCAAGTTATGTTCCAAATATTTATTTTTGTGAAATTATTTTAATTCGAACAAACACCACAAAGGTTTCGACAATGCCGGCGTTCCTCTAGCCGGAGGTTCCATCGCGTGGTCGCCGGCAGGGGACGTCGAGGGGCGGAGCGCTCTGCGCCTGCACAGCCTGTTGGAAGGCGTTCAAAACGCGGCGCGCTCACGTCAGGGCGACGAGCGCAGCCCTCGGGACCTCGCGTCTCGCCCAGCGCGCCGGCATCCGCCCTTCCCTCCCGGCCGCGCCCCTCGCCCATTGCCCCACCCACGAGTGGCTTGCGCCGCCAAATGACGTAAGGGGCTTGTAAGAGACTGGAAGTGCCCGTACTGAGGCGGAGCAGGTGTGCGGCGATAATTGGGACAAACGGTAGATGAGCGAGTGTCCACGGAAGGATGTTTTTAATGTTTTACTCTGATGTTCATGAGATGTCTTATGAATTAAATAATTAAAACTTTGGGTTACTTGTCATTTGTCTCTTCCGTCACACTGCACATACAGCAGTAGCAATTAGCTCAACTTATTAAATTATTCATTGTGCTGCTACGACAGGATTGAGATATGACACCAAAATTTTGGATACACGTTTTTTCAAACACTACAACTGCATCAATTATTTTGTGCTATGATATGAATGTGATATGAAAGAAAAATATATAATTTGGGTGAATTTAATCTCTTTTATTAATGTGTGCCTCTCTTAATAAGAACAATAACATTATTTCCCTTTAACAATGTCTTTTGTATTTTCAATAAAACTTCACCACTTTTCTGGATGTAACTAGACATTTTATTTATGTACATGTTTTACTCCTAAAAGAGTTGAGCAGGTAAGAACAACAAATATCTCTAGTGAACGTTTGTTAACATCAAGACTCGTCAAGCAGAAGATAGCTTTTTTATTCGGAATGAAGAAAATTGTGTCACAATAGATAAAAGGTCTGCGCAGTTGAGAAACTTAATTCAAATCGGAACTATTAATTCTTCGATTTCCGTCATCTTCCCTTTATTGCCACTTGGAACAATGTTCTTAACATCTCTACTGCTCAGAAATGAAAATAATCAATGTTTGAATTTTGTTGCAAAGTATTTCGATTATGAACAATAGTCACATTGCACAAGTGGCAATTTCAATCATAATTACTACAGTTTACAAAATTATTTTGATTATCAAGAAAAAATCCGAATTGGTCAAAAAGTACGCTTTCCAATATAATTTCTAATTAAACAATGAATTAGTAAAAATCAACTTTATTCGTAATTTTGTGTGTAAATGATTGAGTTTTTTAAATTAACTTTTAATATTTCTACAGCACAATGGATCATTTAACTCGTGACACATTTATAAATCGCAACGAATTGAAGAGCTTCTTTCCAAAGCGACCTATCTTCATTTCCGTTTCTTTTCCAGGGTTATGTATCAGTATATTCTGAGACGCCCTTGCGTCATTCTGCCAAATATTGTGTATAAAAGTAGCGTTATCCTCTCTTAAACGTTACCCGAAACCCGCTGAATCCTACCATGAACTATACGGCTGAATGCAAATGCTTTCCCTTCCTGAAAAATGTTTACTCCCTGTATTCGCGTCATATGGAAATCATCTCTTCAATTACGCAAAGAATTGAACAAGTTGCTTTATTTTATTTCTTTGCTCTACAATACTGATATTTTAGTTACTCGTTTCCCAACATTCTAAAACTACTATCTTTACGTCCTTAAGCATAAACTAAGATTAAAGCCTAAATGCGGTGTTTCCTTTGTTTGCAGATGCGCGGAGCTGCGTCACTTGTGACAAAGTTTTGGAAGAATTGGAGAAAATTGATGACGACACAGACTCCTTTGGTGTTGATTTTGTGAAGATTAACGACAAACGTCTGGCAAAGCAATACGGCATCACTAAGTTTCCCGCGCTAACCTACTTCCGCGAGAAAGAACCGATCATCTATGAAGGTAGGTTTTCCTCAATTCATTAAAAGCCATGATTGAGAGTTCGCAATGCGTAGAATGAACTTGATGAGAGTCTTCTAAAATGAAAAAATATTTTGAATTATCTCTATTTCTCTAATAATCTATCTTAGAGAAAAGTTACTTTAAGACACATTGTTACATCATAAATATTTTTTAAATAAAATATTCAAATATTATGAGTCTTTAAATTAAATTTAATGCAGGTTTAATCACTAAATTCTCAAGAAAAAAAATAAAAAATGTGCCTCTAATGTGCATTTAGTTTGTAATTTGGTGTTTGATTACGAGAGGATGTTATTGATAAAATATATTTCATGTTCAGTTTTGTATGAAACCGCAATTTAACGTATTTCTTAGCCAAAGTGCCTTTTTCTTCTCGATATTTCCCTCGGACAAATCATAACTATGTATCTCGTTCTAGTAGATTAATTTTGTACTCTACTGGATTTTCGCCAGAAAGCGTTTACAAGAGCTTGAAACGTTCAAGTTTCTCATTTCCCTCCAATAAACAAAAGTGACAGCAAGGACAAAGGCGACCGATTGTTCATTGCATATTTTCAGAAGCAAACGATGACAGTTGTTGTCACGATGTGTATAACCCTATGAAAAGCTCTTCTTAACACACTTCCCTGACTATACGGTTTGAGAAAACGACGGTTGATTCTTTTCAGAAATTGGGTCTTTGACTACATTTGAAAACAGCTCTAATCTGTTACATTATTTTCCTTTATGTAGACGTTTTGTGTAATACTTATATTACACAAATGATAGAACGGTAATAACTTGACTACGTGTTATCCTGAAAACCTTTATTGTATGTTCTAGTCTTCTTTCTGTTAATAATGCACTCCACAACAGTAAAAATAATTCTATAAATATTTTATATTCTCATTTGGAATATGAACAGAAGGGGTATCAGCTTTATTTCGAAACCAATATATTTTTCTCTAGAAGAGAATTCATGATACAAAATCTGAACTAAATCAATAACCAATATACTAAATTCTAATATAAAACAAGAAATAAATCATTTTAACTAACAGAAAAATACTATAATTCTGTGCCACGAATCGAACCTAAACTTGGGGAAAACTATGAAACTTTACGAGTGCCGCTTTGTGATAATTTTGATATGAACGACAGAGTAAGGTCTTAATCACGACATTCTCGAATTCTCTCACTTTTAAACTTCTTTATACTCCCACAATCTCTATATGATTTATCTATCATAAGTGAAGTGATTGCACTGCCGATAAGCATCTAATCTGTAATTCTGTAACAGGGTCTTTCTAGAAAAGCTTTACGCTGCACAGGGGGGGGGGTACTGGTTACTGAGTCAGGGGGCGTGACTATCCCAATTGCTTCCCTCGGGTTTGAGGGCAAGTGGCCGCTTGGGAACCGCTTGAGCTGAGGAGATCTATCAGCGCTTGTCCCCTGGCCGAAGGGATAAAAGACAACGGCCAACTAGGACTAAGTTAACGGAAACTTCCAATATATTACACGAAGAATGTTGTTACGAAATAAAAAATGTGTACAATGGAGAAGATAAGTATTAGCACGTACATTACAAAAAAATATCCTATTTGAATACTATTTGGTAGAATAAAAACAAAAAATATTTCAACACACGCCGTGAAAATTATTTATATTTAATTAATTATTTTATTTCATTTATATGCCATTTAATTATTTAGTATACTACTGATATTATAATTGTGTTCATGAAACGAAGGTTCATCACGTGTACGTATACTGGGCAGGGTAAACGGTATTTGCTATAAGTTGTAGGGGCAGTGCGTAAAAGAATGAGTTTTATGTACGTATTTGTTATGCGATTATGGAGTAGTTCAAGACGTACACGCTATGGAAGGGAAAGTGTTAAGGAACTCCACGAAGAGGGAGAAATTACAGTGTAATCACTACACGTCTTTCCACTAAAGTATAAACAAAGTTACGGCTTTGCGCCAACCACGTGGTGTGCTCCCGCAGGGGATCTGATGGACGAAGAGAACGTGCTCGACTTCCTGACCAGTCTGGAGGCCATGGACCTGCCCGACCGCATCGAGGAGGTGAACGCGCGCATTCTGGAGAAGATCGTCGAGGACACTGACTACGTGGCCGTGCTGTTCTGTAAGTGCTGGCCACTCGCTTGCCCGGAATACTGACGACGTCTCCGGCGTTGCAGCTCGAGAACGACAACGGGTTGAGCAGATCTTGTCACTTCCTCACTCGCCTCTTACGATAATGGTCTTCCTTTCCAAGAATTGCAGTTCAATGGCACTTTGAAAAGCTTTTTCGCCTTTTTTACCTACACTGGGCCAAACTAAACAAATATTGGTCACGTTTTCTAGAATAATTCAGTCATTGGAACAATGTTACTTCATTACATCTAGTCAACGTCACTCACGTAGTTTTCATGATGTATCGTGCAATAGATATCCGGCGAATGTACATTTTCAATGGATTTAATGCTCAAACGTTTACGCTGTGAGAAATTTGTGGCTGCATCTGTGCTTTCTCATAAAAAACAAAATGGAAAGGATGTACTACGAACCGCGAGGCGAGTGACTCACAAACAAGAACTCACATTTGGCGTCGCCACTTCTCCAGCGACGGACACCAGAGACAACTAGAGAAAATGCCGATCCCGCCCCTTCCCGCCCCCTTGCAGGCTTAGGTGCAGCCGGCGGAGAGCGCCCGCCGGTGCAGGCGGCGGCAGTGACGTCGGCGGTCAGTGCTGCCACAACACTAATCGGAATGCGGATGCCTTGGGTTGCTGCACGAGCGCCCAGCGGCAGCGGGCAGGGCGCGGGGCGCGGGGCTGGGCGGCTGCCACGTCGCCCTCCACTTCCCAGATCTCCATCTCCACTTCCCAGATCTCCATCTCCACTTCTGAAGCAGCTGTTCCGCTCGCCATAATCTTTAATTTAAGAACGATATATCCCCAATAAATCGCTGTTGCTCGTCTTTGCAAACTCGTATCCAAAACGATTTTTCAAATGCATGTAACTTGGCATACATTTCACATTCAAATATTGTTTTAAAGACATTTGAGACATTTTACTTCTGAATTTGTTTCTTTTGAGGGCGTAAACTGAAACAGTACATTCAGTTCAGAGTACACGTTAAAAATGTTTTGAATACAGAAATATTTCTTTCAAACAAAATATATTTCAGCAAAGTTTGACTTTGTTTAAGAAATTGATTATTTATGTCACTATCAAATAATAATTAGAATGTAGGGTGTAGAAGTAAAATTCATAGCAGCACGTACGTAACACTCAACAAAATGTCATTTATCACATCCCTATAAAATTGTTGTAAGAAACAGTTCTTTACGAGCTGACTTTTATTACTGAAAATTCCCAAGTCGCACGAAGTAAACGTGCGTGTTGAAAGAATAGAATCCCTGACGCATCTCTGACGATCAGTCAGCACCCCTGAACCGGGACTGCGCGTAAATCTGTTTGTTTATTGCTGCATTCTCGTTCTACATCAGAAACACAACAGGCGAAAGGTCTCTCCGAATAAATATTTTCACCCAAACGCGTTCGTTCGCTAGAAGAGGAACAACAGGCTCTCACACTTGGCTCTAAGAAGTCCTTGATGTGCCCTCTCCCATTTCTAAACTTCGCGGGCATCCATCTAAATTTCAATAGAATGTGCTTTCGAACTATGCGAGTCCATGTTCTTTGTAGTGAATAAAAGTTATATGTTGTCAAGAAATCGAATGTAATTTTTATAAGTGTGTTTTTACCTGATTCTCACGATGAGCTGCTTCAATTAATTTCTTTAAACTGAAACGTCGATGACGTTTAACGATAATTTCAAAGCCTTATCACGCTCCCAATCCATAAATCTTTACAAGTACATATCAAATGTTTAGTCAATGATCGTCGGTAAAAGCAAAAAACAAGTCGTTCCCACCCAGCTCCCCAGCTCTGCTGCCCGCCGCGCTGTGCTCGCCGCCTTGTGGCCGGGGTATGACGGCTGTGGTATGCCGTAGTGTTAACTATAGATACTATAATGTGTGTATAACGGAGACGTAATGCGGCTCCCAGGTCAGATTTCTTGTGCAGTAACATGTTTTGTGTTATGTCAATAACCGATACTTTAGAATGTGTGCTGCGGGAAAACGTAGACAATGGGCATGAGGGTAGTTGATAACTAGCATGGGAGAATGAACCTAGGCTTCTGTGTGAGGCATGGGAATGTCCATTTGAGGAAAGTGTGCAGGCTAGGATAGTTCGGCTTGGGCATGGTTGTAACGGTCTGTGATATGCGTGTGTTCAGGCAATTATCTTGTGTGTAGACATTACTATTCTAAAACGAAAGGATATTATTAGACTAGTGCCACAAGGGCAAGTAATTTTAAGTTTGGAAGTGTGTATTTACGAATTTAACGAATTCACATCTGTTATATACAAGAAAATTTCAGACTTCGAACCAAACCATGATTTGGTTTGCCAAACCCTTGTGTCTTTATTGAAGAATAGCGTATTTGAAACGCTCCTAGCTTCACGTTGTCTGGGCCGACACCAAGGGGTGTGCGTGGAGTCTGGCATTTTCGCTGTGCAACAGAGTGTTCTGTGCCCTGACGAAGTAACCGTAACCGGCGGGGAGGGAGCTCGGAAGGGGCGGGGCATGCGAGCGTCATTTCACTTGTTGCCTTGTTGCTTGTGCACGCGCGGGCGGCGGCCGCGGAGGCCGCCCTGCAGCCTTGTGTCTTCTCCTTATCAGGCCCCAACGAGAAGACGTGCCCGCCCACCGGCGCCAGTAGTAAGTACCCGCCGCCGCATTTCTCGCTGTATTGGGTTTCTCTTTCTCTCTTTCTCTCTCTCTCTCTTTTATCTCATTTTTCTCTCACTGTTTCTGTCTGTCTGTGTCACTCTGTGCCTCTGTCCGTGTGTCTGGCTGTGACTCGCTGCCCTCCGGGGCCCGCCTGGGCAGGACGCCGCCTGGGCGTGAGGGGCGCGGGACGGCCCCGCCCAGTCTCCCCCGTCCCCCTCGGCCCAGTCGGCTTTTGTTTCAGCTCGCCACGATTCGCCTCGCCTCGCCTCGCCTCGCCTCGCCTTGCAGACGCCGCCCCGTCTCCGCTTTCTGTAGCAGTTGGATTCATACTTTTCTTTTTCCACTAATCCTCTGGAGCTTTGTTTTTCTTTCAGTATTTATCATTTATTTATTTGATTTATATTTAGTTCTATGACCCTTTTCTCCTTGTACATTATTCGACACAGTTTGGGTTTTCATTTAACACTTTGGAACCTGTACACGTTTGAGATTTCATTTATACTGCTTTAGACACCTATCCAATACGCTTCATAGAAGTAAGCTTTGTAGATATGCAGCGTGAAAGACCAGGTTGACTTGCTTTTCCCTGTAAACGCTTAAGAGTGATATATGATTTTTTAAACTATTATAGTCATTAAAACAATATTTTGAGGAGACTTGTTGTTTAAGAAATCATGTTTGAAGTTTCTCTAAAAAGAAAATAGTTTGTAGGGTTAAAGGAAATTTCAGTTGTTGTGTTGGTGGTTCAACACAACTCCCAATTTTAAGCTGAAAGAACACAAAATGAAATTTGAAAATCGTATAAAGTTCGTCTTAAATCTTTTTTTTAATGGCACGAAAGAATAAAAATTGTGCAAACACATGTGACGATATTATCTTTGGCACATCGTTCTCGCACATCCCTCACAAGAATGCAGTAAGTCTTGTCCCAAAGTCGTGTCGCCTGCGCCTCCAAGGCGCTTGTGCTCGCGCAAATGGAGGGCGGCGGGCGCGGGCGCGGGCGCGGCCCCTCCCTCGGAGAAAGCACTCTTGCTGCATTAGCCTCCTGCACCTTTCGGGGGTAGGGGTAAGTGCAGGCGACCTACTGCCCTGCGTTGCCAACCAAGCGCGCCGATGCACTTACACGCGATAAAACGTACTCTCCTGCGGAATCTTTGAAGAACGGCTGCGCAAAAGAACAGCTAGACCAACAGAACACCACTTCTTCATTTTGATTATATTTTTATTTTGTTTTTTTCCTGTATTCCTTCGTTGAGTCTAAAATCGACCTTTTTTTCTTTTTTGCTGTTTTCTTAAAACTAATAATAAATGTATTAATGATAAATGTCAATAAACTGATGTGTGCTTAAAATAATACGGGATAAAAACAAAAGTAACTTTCAAGGAAAAAATACAAAATATCTGAATTGTAAATAAAATATTTTTCTCAAAAACGAGTATAAAAAGTATATTAATAGATAAAGAAATGGAATAAAAATTGCCATTATTTTCTAAAATATTAGTCAGGGAAAGAGAGATGAAAGCAGGCTCCTCCAACTCACGCAGTGGCCAAACTCCAAAAGACGGCAATGCATTCGCACGCGTCGATAAGCAGTGGAGCACGAGCGTCTCCAACGCCTCTAACTAATAGATTATTGCTGAAGTCGTGAAATACGTTTGACGTAGTGTAACGACAAAATGATACGCAAACATAAAAATCAATGCCTTTGATACAGAAATACAGTAATGTTTCAAGCTAAAAGTCAACATGAGAATTGAAACAAAAATTTAATTTTGAATAGCATCTGATACCGACGAAAAGAGAATCGTTATAGATTCTTGCCCCATTGCCTCGTGTTTAATGGGGCATGAGACACGCGTAATGTTTCACTCAAATATGTAATTTAGGTTTCTTCTGAAGGATTTACTCGCCCCTCTACCTCACTCTGCCTATGGCTCAGTTGCCCCTCTCTCCTTTCACTCGCCATGCCTCCCACTGCTTATCGCGAGTGCACCGGGCGCGTTTCACTGGAGCCCTCGCGTGCGCGAGGGACGTGAGGGGGCCTCTACAGCGGCGCGCGCGCCCGTTGCAGACAAGCCCGAGTGCAAGAAGTGCGCCAAGGCGCTCATGGAGCTGGAGAACATCGACGACGAGGCGGACCAGCTGGGCATCGGCTTCGTCAAGATCGCCGACGAGGAGCTCGCCGAGGAGTACAACCTGGGCAGCCTGCCCGCGCTCGTCTACTACCGCCACCAGATACCCATCATCTACGAGCGTCAGTCTGCTCTTCTTATCTTTACTCCTATTAATGCTCTTGTCATTTTGTTTCCTCAACAAACTTCCCCTCATTTACTCATATCCTTCACGTGTTTATATCGTGTCAGTAGTTTTGCACTTCCCTGCCTTTCGTTAATGCAGACAAACTAGTTGTTTGTAAAGATCTATTTTTTCTCATTGAGTAATTAATGTCAAAAGTCTATAATTGCAATTTTAAAAATACATTTTCGTTGACTTCGCCTGATTTTTCCAGGGGAAATTGGCCTACCATTAATGCATGTGCGGAATGCCTTAATGGCTGCTTCCTTTTCCTTACTAACTGCTTCTCCTGGCGAGCCGAGGAGCTTTCAGACCTCTGTTACCTTTACGCTCAATTGCGCCTTCTGTCCTCAGAGGAGTTGACGCGAGAAGAGGACGTGCTCGAGTGGCTGGTGCAGAATAAATCGACTGGCGATGAAGATGACGTCATCGAGGATGTCACGGCCAAAACGTTGGAAACGCTCATTGGATCAGTTGACAACCTTGTCGTCCTCTTCTGTAAGTTTTCTATGTGAAGTAATACACAGCTCAGCGTACGTTAGTTCCAAAATGGATTCTAGTGTGAAGCTATTTTCACACGTGTAAAGTAAGACATGATCGCACTGTAAGCACTAATATATTTTATATTTTTAAGTAATTGTTTACGCTTTAATTCGTTCTTTCAATGAAGATAATATTTTGGCACAGCAATCAGTACTTTACAAGCGCAATGCTAAATATTATTAACATAATTCAATTATGCAGTTCCTTACAAACATTTCCCTATATTTACGAGAAGTCATTTTCATTTATCTAATTGAACATTCCTTAGTGGCATGTTGTCTGGAGCACTTCATGAGCTCGTTACCGCTTTGCAGACGACAATGACGACATCGAGTCGATGCAGGCGCTGGGAGAGCTGGAGACCATTGACGACGACTGCGACAAGCACGGCATCCAGTTCGTCAAGATCGACGACCCGGAAGCGGCCAAGGACTTCGGCATCGACGACATTCCCTCCATCGTCTACTTTGAGAAGGGCATTCCCAACGTGTACGACGGTGAGGGAAACTCCAACTATTCTCTAAAAATGATTTCTGCGTTACATTGAAATGTTTAATGCGTATAAACTCCTTTGCAGGAGATTTGGAAAACGAGGACGAGATTTTGGAGTGGCTTGTTGCCCAATTGGAGAAGGATGAGATCGAGGATGTGACTGACGAAATGCTCGATCGCCTTATCAAGGACGGCAAGACATTGGCCGTTCTTTTCTGTAAGATTTGATGTATTTTAAGTATTATTGTAATAATCTTTTATGTATTTTTTCAGTAGAAACAAAAAAACAATTCCAGGGCCAACGCAAATTTTATTACTAAAAAAAAATCCCGAAGATTTGTAGAACCCCCGAATCTAATGAACACTCATTCGTAAAAAGAAAGTTGCGCTTACGCAACTGTTAAGTCAAAGCTTGAATTGGGTTGTAGATTCATTGCAAGGAAGACAATAAAAATTGGTGACCCAATTGATTAAAAAACCTTCATGTTTCAGGACGTAAAAATCAAATCTTTGAAAGATTACTAATGATTATTGAAATTGAAAATTTCCTTTACGACGATAATAGGCATGTGTGTTGATAAGGTATAACATTCATCCTACTTTTATAACTTTATAAGTTTGCATTAACTTTCATAGATTAATTAAACTTTATTTTGTTCCTGGAGCTACTTTATGCAAATTCTCCAATGTCGATCTGTGTAGAGAATTGACGCCTCATTCGAGCGCGTTTCTTATCCACAACACTTCAATAGGAGTCATTTGCGCGCGCTTTGAAGATTTTATGTTTACCTCTTTTAATGGTTCTCATTTACTTGCTTACTAATTAACTACACTTTAACTTGACTCGGTTTGTCTTTTCACATTTTTCCTCCCACAATTTCCTTTAATAATCCCTCTCATTCCTTCCGTAATAGAACACAAAGCATCATTCAATTGTGTTCATATTTCCCTCGTAACCACGACCCTCTCGATTCAGGCATATTATAGAGTGTATATCGAGCTCTTTTTCGAAGGTAATACCAATAAATAATCTATCAGTAATAATATGGAGGTTTTGCTCGCCATAGCTTACAGCAATCGACTACAACTTTGATCTCCTTCGCATGTACAGATGCAGTAATGGGTAACTCAAACTGCCCTTGCGCAGAAGATCGAAATTTCTGTCGATAGCTATAACGCTTCGTCGTGCAAAAATATCCTAATACATTTCCCTTAATGCATTTAATAATGCAATGCCATGCACTTTTGAACAATAACTGAAAAGTACTAAATGATGAGTTCCTTAGTTAAGATATTTTTACAATGTTTTCCATTAATATATAACTTGAATGAACTTCTTGCCCATTCAGTAGTCTCGTGGTTTAAAGACAACAAAAAAAATAATGACAATACACTCGTATTATTCCTACTTTATCTTTAAATCATTCGGTCCCTGACATTATTTTGATATTTTTTTAAAACCCTTGATATACAATCATAATATTTTCCAAAACCAGAGACTGAAATTATATTTTAAAATTTCTGTTTAACAAGAGTTTCGTCAAGAACGTTTTGGCATAACGTTATTCCGCCCGTCTGAGAAGAGAGATGAAAAATAGCATCCTCTTTTAAGTCCTCAAACTAGAATAGTAGGGGAATCTTAACAGGCTAGGAAATGGCCCATTTAGTCGTTCTTGGCTATGATCCCAAACCTACCAGCTGCAGGCCAACATTCATTTGGCTTACTCTGGAATTAAGTTCTTTCGTTTAATATTCCTACCTCATGGAAAAAGGCTTTAAGGGCTGGAAAGATACTTTGTTCTGTTCATGAGCGATTTCAAAATACTGTCTAAATGGCAACTCGTAAACTGTGTGGTCATACTCAAGCGCAATATGCATTATACCAATATCGTTATTAGAATCGCAATGAACGCTTTATGAATTAGTATGTTACGTAGATTAATTGTACACAATAGTAAAATGATATACAATTGTGTATAGTTTTTGTATATTAATATGCATTTGAAACACTTAATAGTTTTCCTAGTACTCAAAAAAGTACGTTTGCGAAACATAAACGTTAGAAAGTGTGATCTCAAACAAACATATGCTCCTAGTAAATTTTAAAATTCTTAATAAACATACCATATTCAAAATGTGTGTTTTGAAACAGTTAATATTAAGAATTATTTCACAACCTATAAGGAACAACCTACAATAAAAATTAAACACAATTATGTAATAATTAGAAAATCATCAAACTACTTGATATTTTATGTATGCTTAGATGATAACAATGACAAGAAGTCGCAACGAGTGCTTGGAGAACTAGAAAACATTGATGACGAGTGCGACACTTTGGGCATTGTCTTCGTCAAGATTGACAACCCTGAGGAGTCCAAGGAATACGGTTTGGAGAAGCTGCCAGGGCTCATCTACTTTGAAAAGGGCATCCCCTCCACTTATGAAGGTACAGCACTGGTGCCTTTGGCAGTTTCTTTCTAGAACGTTCTGCACAATAATAATTGATAATTTTCAAAGATTTCTTTCTCATAGATAACATTTAAAGAACAAATTTTCCTACATCATAAGTTAAAATCTCTCACACGTTTAGTCTTTCTATTCAGCAATGATTTTTCTTTCAATTTCAAGTGCATTTTTGTATTTTAAAGTCAGTTCTACATTTTTCAATTTAATTTTTATTTTCAAATCTAATCTTTTTCATAAAATTCATGTACATTTCATTCCCAACTCCACTAAATTTTTGTACTTTGAGAGAATATTTTCCTACTTCATCCTTGTCTAATTGAGTCTTTTTTATTTCTATTGATGATTTCATACTTACTTCATAATATAACCTCCCTTCTTTATTTTTTGGCTTCAGCAAAATTATTCAATTATTTGTCATTCTTTTTGCAAGCGATACAATTTATACTAGATGTCTTTCTATTTTTTCTACACAGGAAATTTGGAAGAGGAAGAGAAAGTTTTGAAATGGTTAGAATATCAAGTCAACAGTGACGAAATCGAAGATGTAACAGATGAAATGTTGGATATGATAATTGACAAAATGACTCATGTCGCTGTTTTGTTCTGTAAGTTTCTATTTTGTGGATTATTTATGAATTAACAATAATTATTGACCAGGCTGGAGATACAGCATCATCAAAAAGTGGAAGAAACTGGGAAGTTTTCACGGCTTTATAAATCGGAATGGCCAGAAAAAATATGCAGATTTCGGAAAAAGTAAAAAGTTAGATGATGTGCATGATATCACGTTAATATTGCTATAATGTTTATCGCCCCATATTGTTTATTAGTAGTAGTAGTATTAAAGCATGAATATGAATTTCTATTTTTATTTTGTAACAATGATAATTTCGGAGAAATTCAATTACTTTTTAAAATTCCAATCTATCCCAATTTGTTTTTTCTTAAATATAGTCTTCCAACAAACTAAATATTAAGGTTGTAATCGTACTCTCTCAAACAAGTTTCTTTTTCATTATCACTGAAAAGCATTTTGTTCAAAAACATGATTTTCATCAAACACTTCAAAAAGTTCATTCTTCTTATCTCTTCCATAAGCACATTAATTCTAGAAGAAACTGCTAACAAATATCACATGAAGCTGATGTACCATATACTGCGGTCGAAAACCAGAATTGCACTGGCCTCCGCATTATTTCAGACTTGTCGGCAATGAGGTCGCAGACTGAGTCAACAATGCGACTGAGCGGACGCTCAGACATCAAACCTAAAGCTGTCCCGCGTTCAATTTTCCGTCCTTCGCCATCTTCGTGGAAGGAGACAATCACACATGCTTCAAACGAAACTATTTCTTTGAAAAAATTATCCTTATAAAAATGCTGTGTAGGAAAGTAAGAAAGAATGCTAAGAACGTTTGGTTTCGTATTGGAGATGTCTGGTCTCTCTTACCTATCTGGAAAACCGTCATTGCATTTTCCCTTGATTTTCTTACAATTATGTATATTAGAAACGTAGATACCTACTAAATCATTGTACTGAAAAGTTTCTCCGAACATGAACATATTGTTTTAGTTTATTAATAATATATTATTGTATGGCACTTATTACACTTTCAGATGATAAAGACCAGAAAAAGAGCCAGAAAGTATTAACTGAACTGGAGAATATTGATGATGAATGTGATTCCAATAACATTGCTTTCGTGAAAATTGATAACGATGAAGAAGCAAAGGAATACGGTTTGGATTCTCTCCCTGCTCTTCTCTACTTTGAGAAGGGAATTCCACATGTCTATGAAGGTTTGCATTAATATTCTTTTCTTTTGCTTTCTTGTGGCTAAAATACGATACATTGTATTAATGTCTAATAAGTGATCCATATTAACCATAGGGAAGATTTAGTACATTTTTTCTTTAGCATACTGCTCAATATATGGATTGATTGTGAAAGGGAATTTAATATGTATTGTCATGTTTTGATGATACCCAAATCTAGTTTCTACAAGAAACTGATCTTAATAAAACACATTGTTTCTACAGGTGATTTGACCAATGAGGAACAGTTGTTAGGTTGGTTACTACACCAGAAGCGCCACAGTGAGATTGCAGAAGTTACAGATGAGATGCTTGATCGACTCATTGAAAAGATTGATTACCTTGCTGTGCTTTTCTGTAAGTTTTCTTCCTTAGTTTAAATATTATTCTAATATTATGGAGACTTTAAATGAGAAATATTAAAACAATTTGAATAAAATAATTATTTTTTTCATACTCAATAAAAATGTTTTGTTATAGATTATTCTTAAGAAATCAGCCTTCGGTGAGCGTCCATTTTTTCAGTGCATGCCAGTATTCCGGGCTTTGTCTTAAGGTTGATGAAAAAAATATGAATTGGTATTGAATCAATAATTTTGCTGCAACCATATTTTAATTTATCGCTTTCAAAATTTCCGTCCTTTTTCTTGTTAATTTGTAATGAGCTCAAGACAATAATACATATATCATATCTGTACAAAAAATTCTAAATGTAACGAAATTTGTTTTAATTAAATTAGAGTCAATCTCTAAAAGCATTCTTTGATGTTTTAAAAGTAAAAACTTTTTATTTTAATGAGCAGGGTTGCCTCGGGAAACATCTTGATTATTTAATTTTGCATTATAATTTTTTCGTTTTATTTGTTTAAGACAAGACAATACATACAGGATTCTCAAAAGAAACGTAAATGAAATGTCATCTATAAAGATGAGTGGATAGATAAAAATTTAATTATTTTTCTCCGCCGCCTCCGTTCCGCAAAACAATGTTGTTTCTTTAACTTTCATTTCGATGCTCATTATGGACTTCGTTTCACTAAGATTTGAGGAATATGTTTTTGTAATTCTATTGTTATATTGAGCGAACGCAACCAAACAGATAAACGAAAAGCCCACCTTAACGGCCTAATGGCGGCGACAGACTGCCGTCACTAATGAACAATCCAACCAAATGCGTTGTCGATAAAAATGGCGGACGAGTACTCCTACTCCAAGAAAAAATATTTCTTATTTATATTCTCTCATAAAAAAATGGTTTTACGAGAATTATTGAACGATGTATGTTCAAATTACGGTCTTAGCTGGTCTTAGGTCTCGATTAAAGTATTGGTTTACAAACTCCAACCGTGTCAGTTATTTGCGCTACGTTGACCTAATGACGACTTTAACAGGCTTTAAAAGTATGGTCGATTTCATTTAAAACAAAAAAATAAAAATTGAATGTTTTTCTCAAACGTTATAACATTTTTAATGAATTTTACTATCGTTTACTAGTGGATTCCTTTGAGTGTAACTTCTGTTCCATCAGAACTGAGTATCGAACGGGATGATCAAAAAACATGCTTGTACTATTCAGCCAAACGATATGTCACAAAATTCCACAAAGACCAACAGTCATTAAGAGTGAAGCAGAGAATATCTGATACAGAGTGAAACAGAACCGACATATTCGAAAATTCCATCTAAAAATTTTTGAAAACATCATATTTTAATTTTTTCGTTTTGTAGGAAATTGTTTGCAAGGTATGTTTCAAAAGTATTGCATTATTCAAAACATCAGATATGTACATCAACTTATAATACTTCAAAGTACGACCCCTCGTGCGTGGATAAATTTTTGCCAGCGTGATTTCCGTGCCTCGCACGCTCCCAGGAAGCCCTCGTCGTACTTGTTTCGATGTCATCCAAAGTGTTGAAACGCGTTTCTTTCGTGACTCTTTCCGGCGGATGAACAAGAAGATGTGCGCCGGGCGGCTGTGGGAGCGTTGCCGGCCGATGCGCGTCGGGTAGTGCTCTCGGGAAGCCCTGATCGCCTTCCGTCCTTCAGCCTCCGGAGCCCTCGTTGGTGGAGGCGTCCAACTCACTCTGCACCGCCCCCTTTGTGCTGAAAAGAGCGAGTCTTTCGCGAGCCTTCTCGGAGCTGTGCCTCTCCGCACTCTGCCCCGTTGTTTCCGGTCGTCCTCCAAGATGCACGGCTCGTTTTTGGTAATAACAGTGTCCAAAAATCAGGATGAAATATCGCGAAAGTTTCCACCTGTGTCTTATTCAGCTTCACGCAAAACTTGAGCTCACAAATGTATACGTTCTAACCTCCGCAGAGCGCGGACAAAACTGAATCGTTGAAAAACTAAACCTCCACTTACCCTATCCAAAATAGTCTGACTGTTCTGCGACTTATGTCGTCGAAAAAAATTGTGACGTATTACTTTTGAGACAAACCTTGTAGTTTTATTTAGACTAAGATTAATTAAATTTTAATGAGTTAAAGAAAATGGAGATATTTTAAATTTGTGGTTTATTAATTGAAAGTATTTAGTTTTTATGACAGAATGGAGGTGCGGAGAGAGTAAATTCAATTTTCACTTACCGCTTTAAAAAGAAAACATTGACATTTTTAAAATGAAAATATATTAATTCTGAATGAGAGTTGTGGAGAATCCGATCATGTAGTCCCTTTTTTCCATTTTTTATATGGGCTTTTCGTTTATTTTAATTCTTTTTAGTTATGTATTTAGCATGTTAATATACAATTTTTAATTCCAGCGTGAATGATTTCAATGAAAAAGAATGCATTATAACTGAAATGAAATGGAAATATACATTAAAAGATTCTAATCATATTTCTTGTTTACTTTAGAATCATATTAATATGTTCCATGAACCACATGTGTTAGGCCATGACTTTATTATTTTAAGTGAATTCTAGAAAGTTCTGTTGACAAACATATTTATTAATCTCACTGTTTATGCTAAAAGTGGTTCAATTTTTCTGATTTTTTCTTTGCTTTTGTCAGATGATAAAGATGATCCTCAGGATATGCGTGTTCTCAATGAATTGGAGAACATTGATGATGATTTAGATAAGGAAGACATTATTGTGGTACGCATTGACAACGATGCAGAGGCCAAAGAATATGGTATTGATCATTTGCCTACATTGGTGTACTTTGAGGATAAAATTCCAGCTTTGTATGAAGGTAAGCACAAGGAAAGCGAAGTAATGAGTAGATACTGATTTTCTTATTTACCGTTTTAATAAGTTTTAAAAAGTAGTCCAATTATTTTGTTACTATTAACTTCAAGACAAAGTTTAAGATTTTAGAAGTGAAAACAAAAATAATAAGAATTTTTCACTTTTCATTGCCATCACATTTTACAAATTTTAATTTCTCACACACAAATATACAGAGAGAGCTGAAAGACTTGCTGCAAGGTTTGAGGAATTTCAAGGTTCTCTCTAATGTGTTGTCTACTCTTGAAATTAAATATTTTCTCTTAAATATATGTTCCATATTATTATTGAAATATCAGTATTTTAATTTTTGAAAGTTCAAAGTTTTCACAAAAATGGCACTTCTGCCGATATATCCTTAGAAAAACTTTAAAGAAACAAGTCTGTTGGCCCCTATTTCACACAGCTACCGTAACACACTGTAATCAGAGTAAATGACCACAGCTACAGAGCCCATACGAAAATATCATTAATTTAAAAAGAAAGGATATTTACACAAAAATGTGTAAGATTTCGAGAAACTTCCATTCAAATCATTTGTAAGTTTTGGTCATAAATGTATTAAATTATAAAATAGAACAGCAATAAAAATGTAAACTCAAGGCATTTTTAAAAAAAATTACTATTGTAATTAAAATGGCACTTACATTGGTGTGCCATCCACATAAAAAAAAAATAATAGAAAAATTTGAGTTGTTTGTGAGAAAATTTTATATATTTTTAAAAGATTATCAAATTTTAACACAAAATTATGCAGATAATTCTAATATTTTGAAATATAGTGTACATTAAATTATTTAAAGATCTTATATTGATAAATAGAGAGAAATAAATCTCTACATCCAATATTGGAAGTAAGACGGGTTGGAAGAAAAGTTGAACTTCCGAATGTATTGTATAGATTTTAATGACAATCAGATCTGGACTATACATGCACTTTCCTCTTCTCAAACAAATATCTAAAGGGAAAATTTGAAACCTTTTTAGAAAAATCTTGTTTCTGCGTTTGTTGAAAATTGTCATAATTTCACTCTAAAGTTGGAAAATGTACATTGTTACAATAAATTCCATTAAGAAAAAATCTCTAGTCTCAATAACTTAGTTAGGGCGGGTTGAAAATGTTTGAACTTCTGCCATTTTCAGAATTTCATAGACTTTTATGAAAATCATTCCATTCCATAAGTGCATTTTCACTCTATACTCACAATGCAAATCTCATTCACAGTTAATGATCAGGCCATGAGATAATGGTAGGATTTTGATATATATGTGATAAACAATGGTCTAGGAATGCCCTACACTGCACAAACACAAATGAACACATTCATACCTTGGGATGGTTTCGAACAAACTTCCTTTCTGCATACTGGGGCTCATTCGCCCCATGGTGCTGTCCCATAAAGCCGACATCACTTCACTGTATTATGAATTTCTGTAAACACATTATGGTTCTGTAAAATAATATTAATTTGATAACTAAAATAGTATGACTAAAATTAAACTTTGTTATTCACATGCGGCCTATGAAAGCATTGCAGGAATTGTAGATGTGACAGTCATTGAGGTACATAGATTCAGCAGCATTGAATCTTTGTATTTCAATGACTGTGGCATCTTCGGTTTCCATTTCAACAAAACAATCAAGTTACTTCAGCATTAAAATCTATCACATTACACTCATTAATGAACAATTTTTTGCATTGAATCTTTGTATCTCAATGACTTTGGTACCTTTTGCTTCCATTTTAACAAAACGCTTACATTAGCATTAATATCTGTCAACATCGTACTCATTAATGAACTTTTTTATTTAAATAACAAAAATTTTTATAGAATACAGTGTCTACAGATCATTTCAACTAGCACAACAGTTTAGTTTCCTTTTCTGTCATACTTATATGAAGGAATTGTATTTTATCCGAAATACATAAATTTGTTTACTTGCTCAGTTTTTCTGGCCAAAAATAATTTAATGGAAATGTGAATATGAGAATATCTAAGAAAATCAAAATCTCGTTTCAAACAAAAGTTTTTGTGAAAAAATTTAGAACTTACTTGCTCAGTTTTTCTGGTCCAAAATAATTTAATGGAAATGTGGATATGAGAATATCAAAGAAAATCAAAATCTTTTTCCTACAAAAGTTTTTGTGAAAAAATTTAGAACTGATTTTTCAGAAAATGTTATTTGAACGTTTCTACAAATTTGGAACATAAAACATAAACATGCACATAAAACTTTCAAGACTTCCAGAAAATTCATAAGACATCATTTGAAATACTTGTGTACATAAATTATAAAATACATTATGTAAATCAAATATTAATAACATGAGCAATATTTAAAAAAATGCAAATGTGTAATTTTGGTTATAATTTCTTTAAACAAAATTATCCTAATGTTTGCAATTTTTGTAAAATCAGACATAACAGTGTAAATCGTACCTATGACATTGTTATAAGATTATTTCACTCTTCTCTAGTAAGAAATTTTAAGAAATGTGTTGACATCTTTTAGAAAATTTTGAAAAGGTCACAGCGCCTTCATGTAAAATAACCTAGACAATAATCAGAGACCCTCAAAATGAGTTTTTCTGTAGAAAGAACACTTTTTGCTTCAGTGCTACATACTTTTCTCTATACTGTGGGTATTACTCTGTTTATGAGATTGTAAAAGCTAAAAGTTTTCTTTTATTCAAGACAGCATAGTATTTGTTATTAATGCTCTTGTCTATTTGTAGGTGATCTCATGAATGAAGAAGAAGTACTAGCATGGCTTATTGAGCAAAAAAATACTGCCACCATTGAGGAAGTGACTGATGAAATCCTGCAAGACCTCATTGAAGATCATGAATATGTTGTTGTGTATTTTAGTACGTACTTATAGGATTTCTGAGTAGATTTAAGATATTATGAATGCAATACACTTACAAACTACTAGATCAAAGATAAATTGCTTATTTAGTAATCTAACAGGAGAAATAAATATATCGGTCAAAAGTTTAAGAACATGTTGAAAAAACACCCATTTTGATTCTCTAAGAACTCACTTTGAGCAAAAAAGTCTGGAAAATAGAGGGTTCAAGCCTGTGACAGAGACATCATAGGTGCTGTATTTATTAAACAAGATTTGTCAAAGATGCCTTTCCTGCAAATCCATACATACAACAAAATTCATTCTCCTTGGTGTAACCAATCCAAAATAATAAATATTTTATATTAAATTGTAATATATTATATTAAAAATTCAGCATACATTTTACACCCTTTTCAAAATAGTAAAATTGTAATGAAGTCATTCTACAACAGATAAAAGGGTTGAATTTATATCAAAAGATTACTCATTTTAAGGGTAATTTGGGTACTACCTAGGATTGTAAGGTTTAACAAAGGGTAAAAAAACAGAAAGAAATAATGCTTAATTTAGGGGTCCTTAAACTATCCAAACCCAATTCTATATAGAAACTTGCTAATTACATTATTACCCATAGGTGGCAAGTGCGAGGAAGGTGAAACATGTGATAATATTCTGGATGAGCTAGAAAATATTGATGATGAATTAGATGAAGCTGGAATAATCTTTGTCACAACAGAAGATATGCCTTTTGCTAAGAAACATGGAATTCGCTCTTTCCCAACTTTAGCTTTCTTCCGCAACAAGGACCCACTTATCTACAAGGGTAAGCCTTGAATTTCACAAAGTGTCATTTAAAGAATTGTAAATTTTGAAATTCAGTATATTTTTTTTTCTTGTAAATAGTAATATTTCATTAAATATATATACATTTCTTTCATAAGAATATATTTTCCCAAATACTCAAATTTCATAAACTACCATTTATTACCATCATTTATTACAAATGCTTACATCACAGTTAATTATTTCTTTAAGTAATGTTAATGCATACTTTTTGTGAAATGTATAGAAGTTTATTTGAATGTATTATGAAATGCATTTTTTTATATTGTAAATCTTTTGTGTATTTCTGTATATTGTAATCTTTTTTTATATTGATTTTTTTATATTGTTTATTATGTAAACCTAATACACTTGCATTAAAGTTAATATTTTGTCTACTATGTTCTTAGGTGACTTGGATGATGAAGATGAAGTACTGGCATGGTTGACTGATGAAGACACCCTTGAAATTCCTGGTCGCATAGAAGAAGTTAATTCTCGCATGTTAGACAAAATTCTTCATGAAAATGAGCATGTGGTTGTATTTTTCTGTAAGCATATAAAAGCTAACTCTTTAGTAATTTTCAAGACTGTTGAGTAGACATATGATTTATAAGTACATTACAGAAAATTAATACGGTAAAAGGATCTAGAAAATTAATTAAAGTTGTAATATTACAAAACATTGAAAATTTCAGTACTACTATTTTAAATGGCAATCTTCACTTCTATTTGAAAAAATTCTACTTTTATTAATATTTTTGAAAGTTGTATTTAATTCACTGTTATTGTGTCAATTACTCAAGAAGTCTCAACCATTTTCATGCCACAACACAGTAGTATATTTAATAATCAATAAAATTAATTTCAAAAGTAAAGACAAGATATTAATTGAACATGTGTAATTTGCAAATTTTCAAACATCATAAAAGAAGATGAAAAAGTTATGGTTAAAATATTGTAGAACTCAAACGAAAAATGTATTTACATTTTGAAAAAGCATTCTTATTTTTGTACGTTTCAATAACAGACAAGGAGGGTGACAAGAAGAGTCAAAAGATCATCCAAGAGCTGGAAAACATTGATGATGAATGTGAAGAAAAAGATATTTCATTTGTAAAGACCTCTGATGAAGACATTGACAAGGAGTATGACCTGGCCTCACTACCCTCCCTTGTGTTCTATCGGAACAAGTTTAGGGAGATTTACAGTGGTAAGTAATTATATTGATATTTTATTAATTACTGTACATTATACATGATTAGGGATTTTATTGAAGTGGTATTTTCAATTAGACGTTACACACCTTTTTGTATTGTTTTTGTTGCGATCACATGATGTTCTGTACGGCAAACTTGTAATATCCGCTCAATTTTCTTGAACGATGGATTGAAGAAATGCGGGTAGAGGAGGTATTAGTTAAGAAGTCGGCCACCAGAGTATTTGAAGTAATGCCAACATCTGGAAAATCACAGACAAACCTGCTACTGGCGCGGCCAGGTCGGAAAATAGTAAACTGCTAAGATTTGTGCTCTATATATTCTGAATGTTTTTATTATATCTTAATTAATCTTTGTTCTCATCCATTTCTGAATGTTAGATCTCAGATTCGTATTTATATATTTCCCCTCACATTTTTTTAATGCGAGACTGGCTAATTTCTTGACTTGGGAAGCACACTGACTTGTTTGCCTGACGTGAATCTTATTTTAGTGTAATGAATTTCTTATTAGCTGTGTAAGTCTTAATAAACAAGAATAACATTTTAATGACTTATAATACTATAAATCAATTTATTATCACTTATCATTTCATTCAAAGATCTGTGGAAAGGTGGTGGAAATTATAAGTAAAAAATTCTAGTTATATAAAGTATGATAAATTAGTTTCCTTGAATGTTACCTTTTTCACCGGGTATTTCTGGGAATTGTAAAAGATCATTAGCTCTTCTTGTCTTTCTTCTAGTATATTGAAAATACTTTCTCCAGTGTGCGCAGAATCCTGATTTAAAGCGTTACAATCAAAACATAAATCACCTTCTTCTTTTCCAATTCATATGCATTCGCCACACGACAATTGTGCGTTCGCCATTACTATACGTTCTCGGAACTTTCTCAGGAGTTTGAGATGCCTCTTGTGAAGGATCTGCATCTGCCTTAGCCATTTCTTTAGGTATTATCGAAAAACAAAAAGAGTTCTCTTTGAAAGCAACTAGCTTGTTTCGCGCCAACGAAGTTACTATGTTTGGAATGTCGTTAGTGCTCACTGCGAGCTGGTCCTTCAACTGTTTATTGCTGGAAGGATGGAGAAGATAGGTCAACGGTCAAGAAAAGTTGCGCGGTTATTTTCATTAGCAGAGGTTGTAATTTAAAAAAATAGAAGTCTACCTTGGTTGTTGTCATTGATGCAAACTCGCGTAAATAAATCCTGCATTCATTTCGCAAGAGGCAGACATCTGCCACCTATTACACTTTACATCGTTTGAAAACTTTAAATCGTTCGGTTGGTTGGTCGTTAATGATTCCGGGCGCGTCAACTACAGGGGCCGTTAGTCCCATAAGTGTAGTGCTTTTCCTTGTGAGGTGGCAGGGATCTTTCTCCGCTGACGAGATCCGGCACCGACCGACCGTCTGCAATATAGCAGGATTTCCCCTCAAACAGGTATCTCCCACCGACGGGGCACTGCCCCAGCCGGGACAAGCTCTAAGCTCCTGACCGATCTCCCGGCATGTGGTAGTGTAGTGCATGTCAGTGTAGGTGTGTATGAGGAGTGAGGATAGGCCAGGAAAATGAAAGAAATATCGCGTGTGGTCCGGGGCCGGTTTGTTACGGCATTCGCCTGGTGTTGATCGGGGAAACCAGGGAAACCTATACCGATCAGAGCAGTCGACCTCTAGAATTCTCCTCCAGACAGCGATTGAACTCTCTCTAGCTGACACGCTAGTGTTGGACGTCGTACCACTGTTGGGACTCGAACCTAGAACCTCGCGGTCAGAGGCACTGCAGTGACATCAGTGCCACCTCCCCCGGTTAAAAGCATTCGGAAATTATAAGCGAGATTGTCACCGGCTGCGCGCCGAGGAAAATTGGTCTTGTCTTTTGTTGACGCCTGGCAGCCGCGTAGCGGGCCCTGGCGGTGGTTGCTCTGCCTGTTCTGCAAAGTATCCGAAACGCACCCGAGCGCGGTACAGTGCTGGGTAAAAAATTTGAAAACTACTTCTTGGTTGATTGATTATGACGTGATTCCTGGCTCGTCAACTGCTGTGAACATTATTCCGTAAGTGTAGTGCATTTTATCGCTGTAGGTGGCAGCGCCCCAGGCGGCTCCAGCTCGAAGCTCCTCGCTGGCCTCCTAACGTGCGAGGGAGCGCAGAGCTTGTAAGGGGCGAGGGCAGGACTAGAAGGAAGAGGAAGGACAGATCGCGCGCAGGCCGTGACCCGTTTCTTAGGGTATTGCTCCGGTATTGACCCGAGAAACCACGAAAAACTACCGCTCAGAGCAACCGGCCGCTAGAATTCTCCTCCAGACAAGAGACTGAATTAGACCTAGCTATCTAGTTTGGTAAGGCTAGCTATATTCTGCCACCGTTGGAACTAGAACCTTAGAACCTCCCTGACGGAGGCACTGCAGTGACATCAGTTGATACCCTGAGCTACCTCAGCCGGTCTATTTCTTGGATTAAATTAGATTTTTCTGCGTTGTGATTAAGCGTTTTCACAAACACTTTTAATCGCATTTTTTTCTTGTTCGTCGTTAGATGGGGCCTATGGTGTAGTCTTTTGGCGCGGGTAAGTCTGGACACCTTTGAGCGTAATAATTTGAAGATGGATGTCGGGCGGCCGTCGATTACAGCATGACCATGGAAGAACACTATTTATCCTCCGTTCGCGCCCGAAAGCGAATTTTCCCTGGAATCTACACAAAATGGTCCGAGGAACCAAAAGAAACGAAAGTGATTAGGTAGTTCATAATTTAGCAATTTTTGTTAATGGAAGTTAACTAGCGTACCCGTGCGAGAACTAACATTTTCTTACGTACCAAGAAAAGGAATTCTGTGCATGAATAATATCTGTTATGTCACAAACGTGTCATATAAACAAGAATGTCAATACTTGCATTGTTTGTTGCGTGGGAATCTTGCCGATGAAGCCAGAGATACTAATACTTTCTCGCGCTTAAGGAACTTATTAAGAAGAGAAAGTTACGGAATGCTGCGCGAAAAAACTTTCAGCAGAAAAACTCTTAGTACAGAGCCCTGGTAACGAAAAAGTGGATATATCCAGTAGCTAAATTTAGGGGGGGGGGATCCTCTAACGCCTTTAAATGAGGTCATGTTCAATTTTTCAAAAACGTTAGTATTTTTTGGATTTAAATTTAGGCAATTATTAGTTTCTTTAAACCACTTGTTAAAAACCCCAGAACGTTTTTCGATTAAATTGGAAACTTAGATAGCATAAAAGACGCTTAAAAGAAGGGTGCAGGTCTCATGTTCATTGAAATGTGCGATTATATGTGTGTGTGTGTGTATATATATATATATATATATATATATATATATATATAAAATTAAATTAAAGAGACAAAGCAAGTACCTGAGCTTAATATCCTAAATGAATTGTTTGAGAAACCTCCTTCAGTCTTTCAAGATTTCTTGGTATTGACATTACATTTAGAATCAATTTAATCATGTAAACACTTGTTGAACATTGAAGAACAGTAATTCACTGGTAATTAATGAGGAAAAAGCAAATGAACAAAAAAAAAACAAACTTATTTTACAAATACTACTTGAAAATATTGAATGAACAACTTACCAAGGTACGATTTATATGTTTAATTGAAATAAAAAAATAAAGGTGGTGCAAAAATACTTCAATGGGGCGAAAAAAGTATGCGTAATATGTGAGTACACATAAAATTTTAAGTGTATATTATTAAACATCGCAAGAAACAATATTTCATCATGGCAATAAGTTTAAAGTTCACATTTCCATATTTTGATACAATTTTTCTCTCTTCAAAGTTCTAACGTATAAACGATGTATTAGAAAGTCTTAAAAATATTGTTATAAAAATAAGATTAACAGTTTTTAAGTATTTAATTCCAATACTAATAAATATACTCACAAACATTTATTCACTCAAAATATGATAAGCAGAATAGGTTCAAAAAATTCACTGTACATTAGCTTGAGGAAAGCACAGATAAATGTCATACTAATGACGCAAACACATATAAGAAAGGATTTGTTGAATGTATTGCTTAAATACGTACACTTACATCATAAAATTCTACATAGGCAGTTATGGAATGTATTTGAGAGCGAACATTAATGACGAAAACTGTAGCAGCTGATTACTGGTAGAATGTGGCGGCTAATCATCGTAAGCAGGCAAGCGTCAACAGAAAACTGATGTGAACACGCAGGAGGGCCAGTTATTTTTCACACAAACAATTCTTTGGAATTAAATGGCAATATTTAGATGTCAGTCAATGATATGCTATTTATAAGTAGTTTGTGTATAATATTTATTTGAGAACATATAAAAAGAAAGAGAAATTAAGAAAGTTTAGGAAAATACATTTGTATTGAGGCCTCTTGGTTGATGCACAGTTTGTGCAATTTGTATCATGCTAACAATGCTGCCTCATTTACTTTTAGTACATATTATTCTTGGCAGTATTCAAGTTCTTTGGCAAGATTTACAGAAAGAGTTAAGTACCTATTCTACTTCTAATTATAGCCTTTTTTATGAGTAATCCATACATATACCCACTGAGGCTATAGTTAATGAGTATTTCATCACGTGAAAATCCTTTCTATAAATCTTGCAACAATAAGCAAGGAAAATTACAAATACTGTCATTAATATTATATATACAGTCAAATATTATCATATGCGAGCAACATTATGCCAATATACACAAAAATAAAAATACAGACATGATGAATCAGTGATTTCTGAAACGCTATAATGCCTTGGCACAAACATGTGGAACAATAACTGAAATTATTTTTGATATTCTGTTTCACCTTCAATTTGGTAAATTAACTCATATTTCACAGAAGCTAAAATGTATTCAATGCAAAACAACGAAAAATAAAAGGAATCAAATTTAATAAAATGAAAGGAGACATTCTAACTGAGTCAATAAAGTATTTCCAATAATTAGGATAATTTAGATCAAATAGAATGTTAATGGTAAACA